AGACCTGCTTTGGCCCGGTATGATTTCATCTCCTCACTGACTAACAACTTTAAACAAGAGGCTGAATAGCTGCGCTGCTTAACACTGATATTCCCAATACAAGTTCTTGAAGATCAAGAATTGTGTTATAAAAGCTTGTTGCTGCCCCCTAGTGACCTCATACTCCATATTGCCACCTTTGAAACATTTTCGTCCACTTGGCTTCAGGGCTGCCACTTACAATTATTTGTATTGTCAATTCATCTGCCTATTATTTTCAAGATTTTTCATTTGGTCTTTAAATTGTCAGAAAATGTTTAAACATTTCTCAAAGTCTAAGGTGATGTCATTAAATGTCTCTTTTTGTTGGTCCAAAACCCAAATATCTTACCTTTTAAATATGATATAACACAAACCGTTTTTACAGTATTAACATCAAAATGTACCTCAAGAACCAAAACTAAAAGTACTTATTCTGCAGAGCAGCCAATTTCAGAAAGATATGTTATATTATTGGATTATAAATATGAATCCTTTAGTGTGTTTATTACTTTAATGTTGCAGCTGGTAAAGAGACTTTTTGTAATACTGTATAGCCTGTGGATTTATCCAGGAATGTAACTATGATAATACAAGATACATCATTTGTTACAACATTTAATATCATTAATCTCAATTTTCAAAGTAGCTAATGTTATCAAATCAATGTAGTGGAACGAAACTACAAAAATTGCCTCTGAAATGTAACGTATAATATATATAAGTTTATAAGTTATAGTGGATAAGTATGAAGTTGTAGAAAATGGAAATACTCAAGTAAATGACCTTGCCTAACAATTCTTCTACTGAACAGTACTTGAGTAATTTAATGTATTTAAATTCTTTACATCAATGAAAATAGTTACTGATTATTTATCTGCTGATCAGCTCATTGATTAGTCATGAAAATGTTGCATTGCTACTTTTCTTTTGTCTGTCAAATAAAGCCTCCTTTCTCCTCTTCAGGGCGCAGATCAGTGTGTAGCGTGTACCCGCTTGCGGGACGGCCCGCACTGCGTGTCCTCGTGTCCCGAGGGCGTGATGGGAGGAGAGGAAGTCATCTTCAAATACGCCAACAAGAAAGGCAGCTGTGAATCGTGCCACAAAAACTGCACCCTAGGGTAACAATGAGTAGAGCTTCTTTCTCTATTTTCATTTCGAAGCTCAGATTGTGTTTATTTCAATTTGACCTCTTTTCTGTTTAGGTGCTACGGCCCAGGAATTGGAGAATGTCTCGGGAAAGAGCGCTTTATTTCTGGGTAAGTTGCTCCTCTCTAACTAACATGTTTTTATTTGTATTTTAATTTATTATAAAGTAATGAGTCATCCTTTCTCCCTTTTCACCTGTCATCAGACAATTGACCACAGCCATCGTACTGGGAGTGATTGCCCTGCTCTTCGTTTCATTCTCGATTTTCGTGCTGACTGTTTTGTACCGCAGAGGTCTCGCCATTCGTCGTAAGCGAGCCATGAGGAGATACATGGAGAGTGGAGAGGTCAGTCAGAGTCTGAGGTCATCTAGTGCAACACTAAGACATTCATACAGAATAGGGAGAGCTATAAACAGGAAATCAGTCAACCAAAAATTAATAGTTCAATCACTCCCACCACGATTATCCACTCGCCTACCAAGCATTTCTGTTATTCTTGATTTTAAGAAAGGACATTTTTAATTGTGTCAGTTCATCATTCAAGATTAAACCAAATCTCTATAGGTGCAATGTTTTAGTTATTCCTGTTCTGAACAGCTTCACTGGAGGGCTTTTGTTTGCATAGTTTGACTAAAGGTGTTTTTTCTTCCTGCAGAGTTTTGAGCCTTTGGATCCGGGAGAGAAAGGAGCTCGGGTCCACTCTCGGATCCTGAAGCCGACCGAGCTGAAAAAGATCAAGCTGCTGGGTAACGGAGTGTTTGGAGCCGTCCATAAGGTACTGGGGATTGTGGCAATAGTCTTTTCAATCCTTCTCTTGCACAATTGATTTTTATCAGGTAATTAATAAATCTATTTGTATTTACCTCACAGGGCATTTGGATCCCTGAAGGTGATACAGTGAAGCTTCCTGTGGCCATCAGGACGATTAACGACCGCACCGGACGACAGACTTTCTATGAGCTGACAGACGTAAGAGAAAACATGAATTATATCTCCCGTATCTAAAACTCACTGATGGTAGGCCCGAAATGTGGCTCGTAAAGTTTGTATAGCTGGCTACTCTGAGGAGTCAATTTGCATTCTGAAGTTTGGTTAATTTTGTTATCACTTATAGATTGTAGTGGATTGTATAAATAGACGTCTGAAGATTTGTAGTGGAAAATCTGAATTGACAGTGGATATTTCTGACCTGTATTGATTTTCTCTGACTGTCCCCTGCAGCACATGATGACCATTGGGAGCATTGACCACATTAACGTGGTCAGGACTCTGGGGATCTGTCCCGGGGCCAGCCTGCAGCTCGTCACACCGCTCAGCGCTCAGGGCTCGCTGCTGGAGCACGTCAGGAACAGCAAGAACAAACTGAGCCCACAGAGGCTGCTCAACTGGTGTGTTCAAATCGCAAAGGTAAAGGACCAACCCTTTCATTGTTTGTGTGTGTACTTGTTTTTAACCACAGCTTGGTTCATTCCCCTGATACCAGGAGCACTTAAAGACGTTTGTCCTTTCTCATCAGGGTATGTATTACCTGGAGGAGAACAGGATAGTGCACAGGAACCTGGCCGCCAGAAATGTTCTCCTGAAGAATAATTACACCGCCCAGATCTCAGATTACGGCATTGCAGACCTGCTTTACCCCGATGACAAGAAGTACTTTTACAACGAGGTCAAGGTGTGTAGCCCAACAGAAAATATATGATACTCAGTCATTTGACCAAAGTTCATCAAAGAGACTTTGACATGGATTTATATTGCCATCTGCTCCTGTTTACTCATATAAGACTCATATGTTTTCACTGGAGTAATCAATATAGACAATTCTCTGTTTATGTCTTAGGCTCCAATCAAATGGATGTCTTTAGAGAGCATCTTGTTCCGCAGATACACACATCAGAGCGATGTCTGGAGCTACGGTGAGTTTTTAAACCAGGTAGTCCCAAGTTAAAGTAATATTAAGTGTTTATGAAAACCTTTATGTATGTTTAATGCCACACTAAATCTTTCAGCTTGCATTTTGTTATTGCTATAAATAGTGTATCTTGTTTGTAATAGTTTGTCACCACTTCTATATAATTGTGAACTTGTAATATAATGTATGTGAAGGCTTAAGTAAGCCCTGTGTCGGTACTTTCTGCATTGTATTATTATTTGTTATATCTTGTGTTTATGCAGTTCATTTTGTGCAAATAAACTTTAGCTAAAAAAAACGTAATCCTTCATGTAGGTGTGACAGTTTGGGAGATGATGTCCAATGGTGTAGAGCCGTACACTACGATGCGTCCTCAGGATGTTCCTGATCTGCTGGAGAAGGGCGAGCGTCTGTCCCAGCCTCAAATTTGCACCATTGATGTCTACATGGTCATGGTCAAGTGTGAGTGTCTTCTTCTATTCTTCTTTTACATCTGGTCTGATCTACTAATTAACCGAAGCAACATATGCCTTCTAGCCATGCTAGCAGCAGGATCTAGGGGGAGCAATATTGGACTGTTGGTCAGTTCACCACTTTGATTCAGACTGAAATACAGTATCTCAACAACTATTTATCAGAGTTCCATAATATTTGTTACATTCATTATCCCTGCAAGATGAATCCTAATGGCTTAGGTGGCTTAGCGACTTTTCATATTGCGCCACAATTATTTAATTTTCGTGAAATCTCCTAACTAAATTGTGTTCTTATTTTTTATTTACAGGTTGGATGATTGATGAGAACGTCCGTCCAACATTTAAAGAGCTGGCAAATGAATTTACGAGAATGGCAAGAGATCCGCCTCGCTACCTGGTGATCAAAGTAAGAATGCTGTTTGTTTATCAGTAACCATGCAGTTTGTATGTCAGTTGTTTTCTAAGTTTGGTTTCTTTTTACTGTGGTGACTCAGTGAGAGTGTAGATGCAATATGCTAATTAAAGTCTCACCTCTTTTCACCAGGAGGACTGCACCCTGCAGGACCCCCCCCCGGATGAACTCGCCCAGCGGAGCGCAGACCTGGACGACCTGGATGATCTGGGCATTGAGATGGTGGAGCACGAGGAGGAGGAGGTGGATGGTTTGACTCTGGCCCCCCACTCCCTTTCTCAGTCCAGGAGCCTCAGTCGCCTCTCAAGGATGGACACTCACAGAGTAAGAGTTGTTCTTACTGTTGAATTTATGTCCAGTTTATATCTAGACATGTGTTTTCTGTCAACACCCTAGAGACTGACATCTTACTTCTGTCTTTTTTTGTAAAGGTGATTATTACATCATCAAACATGGCTGGATACCTGCCTATGACTCCAGGATTTGACAACCCAGGACAGGTAATACCGGCTTTTGAGGTGTTGAAGTATAATATGTAAACTTTCTGCATACAACTATAGAAGAAACTGACTAAGGTGGTGGTGAAGACAACAACCTCCTTGATCTCACGCCTACTTCATCATAACATCACTAAAAGCCATTGTTTGTTATTGCTTTAATTGGGAGTCCTCTAGAGGCAAAACATTACATATTTTGTGGTTGTGTTGTGTTTGCCACTTACAAAAATAGCGACATATCCCCTTAAGTCCCTTTGTATGTAAACTGTTTTTCATTTTTTAATGTACATAAGCCAAACATTTTTAAAGCTGTTATCAACATCATCCTATTGTCCTTCCTGTTGCCATTTTAGTGATGCATGTGTGTTTGTGTTGTCTTGTGTAGGCCATGTGGCAGTCGCGCTCTCGACTAAACTCAGCCCGCACTGTGTCTGAGAGCTCGGAGGGCCCGACAGTGGAGCTGGAGATTAATGAAGACTTTTCTATGACCGGGAGCCTGAAGAGACGACGTCAGCGTGAGGACAGCGCCTACGTCTCACAGAGGGACAGCTTTTCCGCCGGGCCTCCAGAGACACCATCACCAGAGATGGATGAAGAGGACCAGAATGGATATGTGCTTCCTGGAGACAGCCCAGGCAGAGGTGATTGCACTAATCACATTTTTTCTCTATTAAAATTATATTGTCAACCATCTTACATGGAAAATTGCTCTATATGTCACATCCAACTAAAGGACTTAATAATTCACGTGTAGGGTATTTAATCGTATGTGTTTATCAAGCCCATATTGCCTAGCCATAATAAAACAGAACTTATTCTAGGCATCTCAGCAAAAAAACCTTATTTTTAAAACACTGACTTAGAGACAAGTCAACAGGGAGGGCAGAAATGCTAATTTCTGGGTTTTAACACTCATTCTTATGGCACTGTAATTCACCTGCGCATTTGTATTAAAAGGCTTGTCTTGTAAAAAAAAGACAGTGTATCCTCATTATGTGTTAACTACCTTACACAATATTCTAATGCGAACCTTAATTTATAATTTTTTCCTTTCTCAGATACATTACTTTCCTCGTCTCGAGCTGCTCCTGGCAGGATGAGCAAGTCTCATTCAGCGAGCCTCCTGGACGACCCAGATGAAGAAGACTATGAGTATATGAACAAGCGGACGTGTCTAACAGCTCCTTCACCCAGGCACAGCAGCCATTTACTAAAGCCCAACAAGAAGCGCACCTCCTCCGTGTCTTCACAAGCGACAGCGTGCTCAGCTGACACCACATCCTCAGTGGAGGTCAGGGGGGCTCACACAAGAAGCAATTACGACTCTGATTCAGAGCAGCCGGGATCTGATGATGTAGAGTATGAATACATGGACATCAGGGGTAGTGAAAAAGATGCAAGCCCTCCAACGCCTGAGCCTCCTCCTCTTCCTCCTCCACCTCCTCCTCCTGCACCAGCAAGTATGGTCAGAGAGGTGGAGGGTGAGGCGGGGGAAAAGGAGGATGAATATGTGGAGGACAGTAACTATCATTACACAAACAGACAGCCGAAGCTGCGTCAAGCTCTTCAGGACAGGAAGGATCTGAATGTAGAGGGAAGGGACGAGGATGAGGCGTATGAGTATGAAGACATGGACTCCTTTGCTGCCCTGCTCCCTGGAGACGCTGTGGTGTACCACAACCTGCATAGGGAGGGGGAGGGAGCAGTAGGGGGCACAGAGGCACATAGATCTGGGTTTGAACCCAATGTCAAGGTGCGAGCTGGAGTCGGGGTCGGGGAAACAGCAGCCGCCGACAGATCTTTTGACAATCCTGACTACTGGCACAGCAGGCTGTTTCTGAAGTCCAAAGCAGTGCCTACATGAAGAACGTTTTTAATCTCATGAACTTCACTTTGAGACATTTTCATGAAGGACCCAACATACAATCAAAAGCCATTATCAATGTAGCCTATGACACATTTTCAAAAATAGGAAACTGTCATCCAACATGTGTGACTTTTTCACAGCTTGTATTTTTTTCTCATGTTTTAGGGCATTTTCCAAAACTAATGTGTTGAAAACTTTACAGGAAATGAACAGATTACAAGCTATATTTTTCTGTTTACATTTTTAAACGAACAAAGATTTTTCTGGAGAACAAATGTGTTTGTTTGGAGTTTGGACTTTTTTGTTTCGAGACCTCTTTTAATGATGATATATGCAATACATTTTCTACTCATTAAACATTTTTTGAATAACTATTATGATGCGCAAACTTTTTATTTTTGAACTTACCTATATAACATTAACATGTGTATAATATGTGAATTGTAGGTGCGTTTCCTCAGTCAGGTCTAATAATAGACCATGAAAGGTAATTCTGGAACTTCTCAGCAGCAATTTCACAGTAATTTTAGGGGGAAGTTGTTACTATGGTTGTTAGGTCACAATGTCGATGTTTGCAGGACCCAACATCATGTTTTTGAATTCAATGTTATTTGTCTTCCCATTGAAACTGATATAGTTGGATCAGAATTTGCTATCTTTTTTGCAGTATGTTGTCCTTGATTTATTTTCTCTGCTTTAACTTAGATTGTCTTTGCTTCTTCTCAAATTGTATGTTTTGACTCAGATATACTGTTGCACACACAGATTTCCCCTCCAGGCCATCTCGGTTTATTCATAAAAATGTAAGTCTTACTGTGAAAAAACATGGACTGCTACAAATGGTCTATTGAATGCTGAGGCTGTTTGAACAAGTTGGTAACTGTTTACTAATATATTTACGAAGAGTGAAAGACACAGACTATTATCAGATTATTCTCACATAACAGGAAATGCCTGTGGGTCAGTGACCTTTCTGTATCATTGTATTCAGCCTAATGCCTACAAATTTGATGTTGAATTAATCTGAGTGTCATTAAGAAGCTGAAGCTACATTTTTGTAAAAAGAGCAACAAATTGAAAGGTAACCTATGTATCATCTCCAAACAGCTAATTGTGTGATTAGGACGTCACTAAACACAGCCAATGCCACATGATATTTTAGGTAGCATAACTGCTCAGCGGGTCGGCATCGCTGTGACGTAGAAGGGGGCGGGGCTTGGCGGGCAGCGGGAGGCCGTTGTTAGCAGGATCAGTCAGATCAGACAGAGACAAGGCGCGGGGAACCTTCACTTTGCACGGGCGACTGAAACTTCACTGCCAAGATGTCTGACGACGAGAAAGAGCAGACCATAGCAGAGGACCTGGTTGTCACCAAGTACAAGATGGGTGGTGACATCGCCAACCGTGAGTACAGTTAAAAGAGTAGCCGTTGATGCTGCTCCTCCGGCCTGCAGACAGCTAACGTTAGTTTCCCCACAGCAGCAGCAGCAGCAGCCATGTGGTTAACATGCGAGCCACACACATGCTGTCCTCACTGGCTACCAAACAGGCACAGCTGCTTTACTCTAAGCTAATGCTCGGTCCTCTTTCACTGTTCATCAATGTTGGCGTTATAGGCTTTACTGGAGGGAACTGCCTGTCTTTAGACTAAAGTGAGATGCTAACTAGCTAACCAGCTAGCTCAGCCTGTTGCCCAGTGCTGTCAGCTTAACATTAAGATAAGCAAATGCTAAAAGATAAGCAGGCAGCAACTCTAACATTACTTTTATGTGCACAGTTTTCCTCTTGACATCACTAGTATGAGCTCTTTATTTTCCTTGACAGCTCATTAATTGACATTTAACTAACAAGCTGATTCATCTGCTGCACTAATAATAGTTTCACTTGGCATGTTATTGTAACGTTATTCATGGGAGATTATCGTAAGCCAGGCGTTTGACTTTTCTAGGTCATCATTCAATGCACATACAAATAATGCCTTGTTTATTTGTGATTTGGAGTGGTAGATATGAATAAAATTAAAATAAAAGTCTCTACAAAATTATATTTTGAAAAATGAATCAACAGTGAAATGGATATAAAGAGTGATTTATTAATAGAACATCTTGAACCATCTGGTTAATTCGGGAAATGACTTCACTTGACTGTAATGCAGCCTTTAATACAAAAAAACAAACACTTGAGCCATATTAAAGGTGGGGTAGGTAATTTTGGAGAAACCAGCTCGAGTGCACTAGAATTTGAAACTACACAGCCAGAAGAAATCTGCTACTTCCTTACAGGCTCCTCCAACACACACGAACACGCACATGACCAATGAGGGCACGAGATAAGTTTGTGCACAGATCGAAGGCTGACAGGCAGGTGATTGGTTGTGCTTTTTACAGTGCTACGGCTTCCACAGATGACTTTTTTTCATTGGATTTTGTGTTCAAAGCACTTAAGATATTCATTGCTATCGGGATGTTAAGAGCATTCCATGGAATATAACAAAAAGTGTTTCTCAAGCCGGTTTCTCAAACTTACCTACCCCACCTTTAAGATAATAGAAACATAAGACCTATTTAATTCTCATCTTATATTTCAACATCTCATTACTGCTCCACGTGGTTCCTATTCTGAATCTCATATCAATTTTCTCGGTGTGTCACCCAGAGGCTCTTCGTCTGGTTGTGGAAACAGCCATGCCCGGGGTGTCGGTGCTCAGCCTCTGTGAGAAGGGGGATGCCTATATCATGGCTGAGACTGGAAAGGTCTTCAAGAAGGAAAAGGAAATGAAAAAAGGTGAGCCAAAATTGAAACTAGTAGTAAGGCTGTTTTTAATTCTGGTGAACTGAGGTGGACCCAGAAAGAGGATTCCAATTGTTGATTCTCAGCCCTGTTTTCATGCTAAACTTGTGGATGATTTCCAAATGAAGACATGGTGGTTTTCTTTTCCCTCTTCTAGGCATTGCGTTTCCCACCAGCGTCTCAGTCAATAACTGTGTTTGCCACTTCTCTCCCCTGAAGAGTGACCCTGACTTCACACTTAAAGATGGGGATCTGGTCAAAATGTAGGCACCACTCTCGGCAAAAATGTCCCCCCTGTTCTTCCCGTTGTGTCTTGAGTCTGCCAGTGTGTTGTCCTCCCTTCTTTCTATGTGCCATCTTGGCTTGTATGTGGGGGTTTTCTCTTGGCTGTTGCCTGTCTGCTTCATCAGTAAGCGCTCGTCTCCTGTCTTTCCTGTGTGTCAAACGACAAGTAAGGTTGGACATTTTTAGAACGGGGGTTTTTCGGCTGTTTTTTAAATGGTATGTTAGTTTTTATGCCCATCCAACTGCTCGATTGCAGTTATCACATTTTTCTAAATGTTTTGCTTTGAAAAGTCAGCTCAACTTATTTGATGTATTGCCACTTGTGTTTTCGTCCTTTTGTATCGTTGTTTGTGCTTCGTGTGTATTTGCAAGGTTGTAAATATGTTTGTTGTTGTTGCCTGTGGTGATGTGGTCATACAATATGTTTGTATGTTTCGCAGTACTCACGCACTCATAGCCTTCTGTCTGTTCAATTTATTACAGTCTCTAGTGCTGCTACCTTGAATTCACAATAAATCCTTCAATATATTCCAGCTGATGTAAAGGCACAACGGAATTCACCTTTCAGTATATCTAACATTTAATGGCCTTAACAGATTAAATTGTTATTTGATTATTTATTTATTTTATATCTTCCTGCATCAACATACGTTGTCTACACAGCTGGACAGCTCTCATCTCTTCTTTTTTTCTTTTCTTTGTGTAGAGATCTAGGGGTTCATGTCGATGGCTTCATTGCCAATGTTGCCCACAGCTTTGTGGTGGGAGCCAGTAAGGTGAGCTCCTGGTTTAGAAAAAAGAAAGGAAACTGTTTTAGATACACCTTTGGTGTTTTTCATAGATAAAGACATCTTTAATTCCCCTTCTCTCTGTGTCTCATTCCTGCAGGAGAACCCCATCACAGGCAAGAAAGCTGATGTAATCAAAGCAGCCCATCTGTGTGCAGAAGCAGCTCTTCGGCTTGTTAAACCTGGAAGCCAGGTACGTGGAACAACTTGTTCACAGGCTCTTCTCCATATCAGAGTCCTGCATCGGGTACCCGACTGGTGACCCGCAAAAAAAGTGATTTGCGGGTGGTTTTTCAAACATTTTTTCCCGGGTTCGGTTCTGGGTAAAACAAAGAAGATGCGGGTCGGTTCACGGGTGTTGCATAATAAGTATATAATAATAATTTAATGTTTAAATCTTCAGACCTCTCCCCCTCGGGACCGCGCATGATCATAATCTGCACTGCATCAATCTGCTGCTGAGCGCGCCACATTCGAAATGGCTGAGGTGAAGCTCTCTAGCGGAGGATACAGCATTGTCAATATCTCTTCCTCAAGAGCGAAATCTAACGTCTGTGAGGCTTTTGGTGTCATCCTAGATGGAGAAAATAACCAACATCCCACGCTTTTTGAGGCATACGCAACTGACGGGTCGGGTCGGTTTGCGGAACAAATTGGCAATATGTGCGGGGGGCGGGTTCGGTGTTGCACGTCGCAGGTGCGGAGCGGGTCTTGAAATTCAGACCCATGCAGGACTCTGCTCCATTAAGATAGGAAACTTTCATACAACTTTTTGAACAGTATGTTTTTAACAGTTGATTACCCTGAACTTTAAGTATAATTCAACTGAAAAACCAATACAAAAATAATAATAATCGTTTTATTTCGATTGTGTTTTCATAATCGTTGCAAGCCCAAATCGTAATTGCGATTTACAATACGATTTTAATTGAGCAGCCCTAACATCAGGCTTGTCTCAGTCAGTAGGGGCTTGGACTGTGTGCCGTAGGGTCGCTGGTTGAAGTCCCTGACCAGACCTAAATAAGGAGTGTGGACTGTTACTCGGAGAGGTCCCAGTTCACCTCCTGCCCTGCCGTGGTGCCCTTGAGCAAGGCACCGGACAACCCCCACAGCTCCCCGGGCGCTGTGCAACAGCTGCCCACTGCTCCTAGTACTAGACTCCTGGTACTAGGATGGATTAAAAGCAGAGAACGCATTTCACCGTGTGCTGTGCTCTGCATGTGTGACCATTTAAAGAGGGTTTCATACCTCCCAATTATTAATATTATTAAACACAATGTAACAAATAAACATGGATTTTCTCTGATGCTTTTCCCTCATTTTTAATTGCTCAGTCAGTGCTACACTGTTTTTTATGTCAAATGTAATTTTTCTGTCTCAGAACTCAAAAGTGACAGAAGCCTGGAACAAGATCGCCAAGTCGTTCAAATGCACACCAATAGAGGGTGAGTGTCTTTACAGCGTCTGTGTCTCAAGTGTTCACATTTACATGATTGTGGTTCTTTTTGTATCTCTTTACAGAACAATGACTTTTAGGAGTTCTTAACATGCAAGTGGGTGATCTTTTTTTTTTTTTAATCTTGTTTTAGTAAGCGTTTTTTTCTTCCTGGCCCTTTGTTTAAAGGTATGCTGTCTCATCAGCTAAAGCAACACATCATCGATGGAGAGAAGACCATAATTCAGAACCCGTCAGACCAGCAAAGGTACATTTAGTAATTGTTTTGTACAAAGAAGAAACAAAAAGAGATCTGAGGCTGTGAATAACCGTACCAATCTTTAGACCCTCCAGAAAAACGCGGGCAAAAATCCTTGATTATGCGGGCTAAAATCCTTGATTATGCGATTTAAATATGGGGAGTTTTTATGTGATTTTATGCGGTGAAATTGCGGGAAGTTGCGAAATATGCGGGGGGAAAGAATAAAAAATTTTTTAAATATTGGGCTGTCTTATTTATTCTCTCTCACACACAACCTGCCACTAACGTTAAACCCCTTTACTATTCAATTAAACACATTCAATGTTTATTTATTGTAAAAGCAATTGGGCTATTTTAATCTCACACACACACACACACACACACACACACTTCTCCGCCTCATTCTGTTTTCATTTACTCGTTCGTTATCTGACCAGCTTCAATCTTGTAGGCTACTCACTTCGTTTCTTGTAGCCCTCGAAAGGGTTTTGGAGGTTGATGCCCTCGGTGAACGTGAGTTGTTTGGCTTTCTTGTCCGCAGCAGCAGAAAGCAGCGAATGTTTGAATGAATCAAAGTGGGTCGTCACCGTCGATTTTTTCTTATGCTCCAACACACAGTTGCACGGGGTGCAGAATAGTTTCCCCCCACTTTTTGCCCGGTCTTTAGTAGAAATGTTCGTCGGTAAATGAGATGGATTACATTTTTTCATCATGGTGTTTTCTCTATCGTGTGAGCTCCACACGTTCACTCTATACAGTGTTGTTTACATTCTGTGATGCGCGAGCTGATGACGTCAAGACGAGTTAAAAAATGTTTTTCTCCACTTTGTGTGGAAAAATGCGGGGATTATGCGGCCTTTTGATAAATATGCGGCCTTTTAAAAATCTGCGCCATTTTGCTGATTATGCGGTAAATTCTGCGATCGCAGAATCGCGTTTTTCTGGAGGGTCTAAATCTTGAGTATGAATGTACAAAACTGTTAACCATTGGTTTTCACTGGCTGCTGTTTATTTTCAGGAAGGACCATGAGAAGGCGGAGTTCGAGGTACATGAAGTCTATGCTGTGGATGTCTTGATTAGCACCGGAGAAGGGAAGGTCAGTGTGCTCTGTGGTTACTTAACCCACATCTGCAGAACGTGTAACTAAAAACTCTTTTTGTGTTCAAAACAGATACTTATAATGTTCACCTTCTGTCATTTAAAATTAGGCAAGAGATGCAGGTCTAAGGACCACCATTTATAAGAGGGACCCCAGTAAGCAGTACGGCTTGAAGATGAAAACTTCCCGTATGGTCTTCAGCGAGGTGGAACGACGCTTTGATGCCATGCCCTTTACTCTCCGGTATGAATCCAATTCTGTTTGTAACAAATGTACATGGGCAACCACCTGCTCATATTTTAAAAGGGATTGACAGGAAGTTGAGTATTAACCCTCTGAGCCCTTAAGCACACCAGCAGGTTTGAGAAGCATTTTCTTTTCAGAAATCTGACGAAATTATACCTATTCACACCCATAAACAGACAGATCACCCTATCCTCACATTATTAGGAATAACTCATTCAAATGTTGCCAACAAATAAACAATTTGCGCCAACCAGCCTAGTGCTACTTGCCTTGATTGACTTGGCTGAGAGGTATTAACAGGGGGGTCTTAAAAAGTCTTACATTTGATAATCAGAATTTAAGGCCTTAAAAAGTCTTAAATATGATCAAAAAATAAGAAGGTCTCAAAAATGATCGGATTTGAAAGGTACTTCTGTGTTGCGATCACGTCTAACTGTGTTTTGGGGGAAATGTCCGGGCTGCAAAGTAACCAGTATGGTAATAGCCTTTTCAGTTCCCCCCCAACAATTTGTATTGAAATAAATCAACATGGAACCAGTAATCACTAACTTTGCATCCCCCTGGCCCCTTATCGGAGAACACCCAGCTAGTAACCTAGCAACCAAGCTTCAGCTAGTGAGAGCATGCTCGCCGGTGTTATGCATGCCCGCCGAGATATGCATGCACCTCGCAGGAGCGCGCTCAGCATAAAGCAAAACTCCCAGACATTTCAATGATTTGTATGGCAAAGTACGGTTTGGAAACAATATAATTTCCTTTTTGTAGGGCATGTATGGCACGGCGTAACACCGGAGCCTCGCTGCGGGGAAGCTTTTGCGCTGTTACGAGTTTGTTCTAATCCGTGAAAATGACAGACTCCTTTCAGATTTTTCCGTCATTGTTAAAAAAATCCGTCAGACGGAAAATATTCGGTTAACGCGGCCACTGCTGCTGGGCGACGTTTGGGTCTACGTCAACCCTAAAAGCAGAGGTGCTGTGGACGCTAAATACCGTAGCTAAACACCAATCCTACAGCAGCAATGGTGAAAGATTGTAGCCAAGGCAGCAGAGCTCAGAAGACAGCTCTTGTCACACACACATTCAATGTCTAACACAGTTCTGTGTACTGTTATGCTGTTATGTTCAGTCATCGTTCTTATGTTGAACGTGAATACATTTACTTTGAAAGTAATTATGGGACGTATTTCTTCTTTCATAGCAATTTTCCTTCATACTTTCTTGCCGTGAAGTAGGTCTTAAATTCTATTCAAAGTGGTCTTATAAAGCTCTTAAAAAGTCTTATATTTGAGTTGGTGAAACCTGCAGGAAACCTGAGTACAATGACTTCAAATGTTTCTTAAAAACAGGAGAAATGGTCAAATGACTCCTCAGAAACACATACTTGTCCACAGCGCTTTGCATGATGTGATGTAAGCATGGAATAAAAGCAGTATTTAGACTCATTGAAACAGTGTGAATCTGATTATTAACTGCAGTCATCCAGCGATATTGTTATTAGCTCCAGATGTGCTTCTCCAGTGCTGGAATGTAACTAAGTACATTTACTCTTGCATTTAGATTAAAAGTATCAGTACCTTACCTGAGTTAAGACATTTCATTTCACTAGTGAGAGGTTTTGTACTTCACTACATGTATCTGCCAGTTTGTATAAATGTGTAAGGTCACCAGGGGCACAAAGACACACACTCACAAACACCTGGATGTACATACACAGCATGAAGAAACTCAGGAAACCATCATGAATACACACAGACTGAAATAAAGTGCACACATGCTCAAGTTGTTACCTGTCCTATTTGTCCTCTCCCATTTTTATTTTCCCCGAACTGTACTGTTGCTCTGTCTCTTACACACACACACACACACACACACGCACACGCACACGCACACACAGCACCACTCTCCCCGCGCTGACAAGATACATGATGTACGCATCCACAGTGATTTATAATAACTCACGTCAGAGCGATGCCATTGCAGAGGAGGAAATTGAACAAACAGTCATGTTATCTGTCACCAGACGACCCAGTTCAAGTTCAAGAAGCTGCCTGTCAGGTACAATTGACTGCACAGCTGATATATTAGACCTTAATGGCAGCAGAAAAAAAAGAAGCTCTTAACGATTGCCTTTGCTGGGCATGTGAAGGTCCTGCAGAGGGGTGGATTGCAAAAAGGAAACAAATGACTTCCTGAAGCAACATCTTTCCTCCAAAAAATCTGATACAGATGCTGGTATGGCACTTTGAAGGGAAGGGGGGGAGCGAGCTTTTAGAGGATTAATGGACAGCTGTTGATGAGAGGAGTAGGAGGGAAGGGTTTATCACGCAGTAGATATTTAACAGGGAGCAGACAGGGAAACATAAGCATTAATTTACTCGTGTGGTGTGTGACCTAATGAATGGAAGTGCACTCTGTTTTACTTCTGTTCCAGCCAGGTGCATGGGCTCCCTATGTCACCAGCAAAGACAAAGTCATATCATCTCATTTTCAGTTTTCACCACGCTTGGTCCAGCACCTGGGAATTTTTTGACAGGCACATTATTTTCCGACATGACTGAGGCAAATTGTTACGTGAATTAAATAATTTTAAGATGTAAAATAATAAATAATTTTTCAGATCTTCAATTATTTGTTGTAATGCTATATCAAAGTGCTCCAGTTTGCAGCCTCTTCATTATATACATTTGTTGTTGCCAATATTTGACTTGGATTATAAAGTGGGTCCATCAATATTGGATTCATTTTCGGCATGTTTGGCCATGGAAATGAGCTGGTTACATAAGTGGTTTTCATTACATTTCATTCAGCTGAGGCTTGTATCCAGAGCGACTTAGAACATTCAACCATAAGCAAAAAAACTATATATATATATACACAATAGCTATTTGCACAATTATAATGTAATTCAATTCAATGTCTTTTCTATTGTGAATTTGTATGATGCTAGTCTCAATTTAAAATTTGTATTTTGAATTTGTAGCCTTACTATATATATACTGTTGCCACTATTGTTGATTTTTATTATATTTGAATCTTATTGTATCTTTTAAATGTTCTTCATATGACCTCTGGAGCCTCATTTATAACGCCCTGCGTAGGATTCACGTGGGAAGGTTGCTCACGTAGTAGAAATAAAAAATATAGGTACAGAAATGTTCCGACATTTTCCGATTCACAAAACATCGCGTACCGGCGAGGGAAGTGCGTACAGCACTTCCTACGCCTGTTGCCATTTATAAATCACAATCAACTCGAAATGCGGCGCAGCTTTTGCGGGCTTCACGTAACGCCAATATTTGCCTATAAAAAGTCAAAGAAACGCCCATTCATTCATTTTGACTGACTGCACGAAGAAAATCGCAGGAAATGATGACAGAACAGCTAAAAAAGACATCTCACACCGTGTCAGAGTTTGGTTATTTTGGGGAGGTCGAGATAAATCATATTGTTTAGTGGATGCAGTTTGAACCAGAGTAGCAGCATGGAGGTCGGATCGTCACCAAAATAAATAAATAAGTGATCCGAAAAAAGCTTAATGACAAAAAAAATACACATTGCCTTCCTCAGGCATTGTGTTTGTAGCAGGGACGGGACAGGACACCCCCCCCCCCCAAAGATTGGCTTTAATCAATGTGTGAAAATGAATTCTTCATATATGATAAATGAGAGGTAACATTTTATTTATGGTATTATTTCCACATATTTCTCTCCATTCTTCCTTCTGCGAACAGTGTCGCAGTTTCTCGTCTCTCCCGTTTTTGTGCTTAGTGCGTACGCATGGGTTAGAGTTTGCGTGGAGGACCGCACATTTTCCCGTCAAGTTAGTATTTTATAAATCGCAAACATTGCGTAGAAACTGGCGTACGTCATTTTTTGAGTGTATATCCCTTTATAAATGAGGCCCCTGGTGTTTTTTGAGTACTCCCGGCTCTGCATCTGTGGAGCCTCAACCCGTGGTGTTTCACATAACCACAAACTATGCTTTAATCCTCAGCAACTCCTGTAGCCAGCTCTTGAACTGCAAACCGCATCACTATCGTTCATAAGGTCGTTTTTTGTTTGAGATGTTAGGTGCTGGGCTGCTAGCACACAACAGGTGTATCAGATCCTTTTCACTGAAAATAGCTGCAGTTTTTATCATCAATATTTACTGGATAGCCAAATCATGATTGCAAATCAAATGTCCAGGTGTTTGCAAATGCAGTTTTTTCCCCAAAATCCCAGGAAAATAAACGATTAAGCTCAGAATTCCACAACACACTTGTCACCAAACATTTACCATGTACTGTACTGAGAATAATGAGCTGAGTGATAAGATGACAGCTTCAAAACAAAACACAAATAATTGGCGTTATCAACAAGCCTGAGAAACATATGTTGTAGCATCTGGTCCAGAGAGTGGAACAAGAAGTGATCTGCTGTCAGATAGTTTAACTCTTAGTTTGAGATATGTTTGACAGTTTTACACCTCAGCTCCACGCTCACATGTCCAACAGATCTTGTTATTTTTTAATACCTTTTTGTTAAAGAAAACCTGATCATACAAGGGGACAATCTAATGTAGCATACATTTTCAGGGGAGGTTAAATTGCAATCAATGGAGGTGTAGAGATCCCCAGGGGTCAGTTACAGTTTCATTAGAGGAGCAGAGAGCCTCACAGTGACCCGTGGACTCACATCACACACTGAGCCGACACACACTCACTGCCAGGACACTCTGCTGTCAGAAGCTCTGTGATGTCAGTCTGCTAATATCCACAACAATGGCCGAAAACTATGTTTTACAACAGTTTACCACATTTGGACTCAATCAAGTTTAATCAAAGTCCACTTACCAGCTTTTTTCTGACTTTATTAGAAAATTGAAAGTGGCTCAGTTGTCAAGACCTAATTATAAAACGTTGGCCATTTAAAATGACTAATACATCTAGCTCTGAGACACCTCCACAGTTAGTTGGGTTAAGATAAGTTTGTCAAGTATTTAATAAGAATATAAA